TCTTGTCGAAGGATCTGCTGATGGAGAAGGTCGCTCGGATGAGCCTGGAAGTGCAGGTGATGACGGCGAGGTCCAACCGACAGGCCTGCCGAGACAAAGCGAGCGTTGGCCTCGACGAGATCTTCGGCCAAGGCCGGTGGTCGGAAGAGGCGAAGAGCATGATGAGCCAGTTTGCTGACATGCATCCGGTCGACAGCTCGGCGATCTCGAACCACATCCTGGCCAACGTCGGCTGGAAGCACGGAGTAACCGGAAAAATTCCGGAAGACCAGCCGGAAGACATGGTTCGCGCCGGGACGGTGTCCAGCGTTGCTTCTTGACGCAGTAAAGGCGAGGATGCGCTTCCGGAGCCTGCTGTGTCGAAGCTGCGCTGGGAGACCTCGAAAGCGGGCTTCTTGCCGCGAAAGGCGAAGGCGCTGCCAATGAAGACGGCGACGCTCAGAAAGTGTAGCCTGCGAAGCCTGATTTCGTCGCAGAGGCTTTGTCTACCGCTCGCGCCAGGAGCGCTGCTGCCGTGGCGACGAAGCCGAAGCAGGACGAAAAGGCGGAGACGATGTCTTCCCCGCCGGTGCTCGGCACGAGGTCGATCGCCGCCACGACGTCCAAGCCGGAGACAATGATTCAGCGGTTTTTTAAGCGCGCCGTCGAGGAAGAGGACGGCGCTGACACTGGCGGCGCCATCGAGCTTCGGCGGCAAGCCGCTGTCGAGGAAGGGGAGGCTGTCCGGCGCCTCGAGCAAGCGGTGAACTGACGTAGCCGGCGACGACGTTGGCGAGAAAAAAAAAGCCGCGCGCCGGCATCTCCGCCGCCATGGAACCAGGCCGCAGCCATTCCGGCATGCGGCGCCCCAAAAGGATTCCCGATGAGACACCCCCATAGGACCATAGGATTCCCCCACAGGACTTCCCCGTGGGCCCCCGCCCCCCCCCTAGTACTCTCCATAGGAGTTTCCCAAGAGGGGCGGCCCACGCGCAGGGATCGCTGAACGCATTCGATGGCACATGTTTGAAAACATCCCCAGTGTTGCGGTCTGGAGCAATATGAAATCAATGGCAAAAGACATCAAGCATTCAATGCTAGAATTGTTAAAGCGCCCTTTGTCCGGGCATCCACGACCGAGTCGCGCGCAATCGGCAGCGGCAGCGGGGTCGAGCGAGAGCGGGCGAAATGCCGCACCCTTTTCCAAGCGCCGCGCAGCTTGTGAGTGAAAGTGGCAGTGCTGTGTCAGCGCTGCGCATGCTTCGTTTTCGCCGCGCCCATCCAGTTTTGGCAGTCCCGCCTCTGCGCGACCCGCGTCGTTTTCCATGTGCCAAGTCGTCAGAAGCAGGACCGCGCCCGAGCGCATTGCATTTGCGAGGTGGGGGGCGTGTTCCAATCCCAATGTCAAATTGTGCCAGATTGGGATATCATGCTATGAGGGGGGAGGTGTTTCGACCTGGGTAATGGGAGTCCGATTCTATGCATTTGCTACCCTGCTTGATCCTGCGGTAATATGTGTATCGACTTGCTTCTGGTCTGTTCTACTATACCTTACCGCCCCCCGCCCGAGCCCATTCTCCGCATGTTTTCTCTATCCGCCCATTGCCCCTTATCTGCATGTACCCCTACTCTCCACCGCAACCAGCCGATAGCCCCCACATCCGGGACCCTCCATCCTGCACGGTACACTAACCCCATGCCCACGATAATAATGTTACCCCCCCTTAAGTCGTTCGAGTTTTTTATCGTCGACCAATAAGAGTTTGGTCGGGGGCGCGGGGGCGCGGAGGCCGAACTTCATTATCACGGGAAAAGTTCGCCATCGAAGTTACTTCTTTCTTATGTTGAGATAACAACATCAAGCGAAGCGAACACGTTGTTTCAGGATGTCTCAAGCGAAACCAATGTCCTTTTGTCTCTTTGTAGTTATTTATGTCTCTCTTTATTTCTTTCTCTGTCTCTCTTTCTCTCTCTCTCTCTCTCTCTCTGTCTCTCTATCTCTTTCTCCTTCCTGGCCTCTCTGTCTCTCTCTCTCTCTCTCTCTCTGTCTCTCTATCTCTTTCTCCTCCTCCTCCCCCTGGCGCCCTGAACTTGTTTATCGCGCTCAAAAATTTCAATTTTCATAAAGCGCTTGTAAATAAAATTTAATACATTTGAATATTCAGATTTGTTTGTTTTATCCTCCTTTCATCTTCTCTTTATCATTTTCATTTTTTTCATTTGTGATTATACTTTTCTTTTTAAGTATAGCTTCTCTCTTTAAGTCCTTCCTTTCTTTTTCTTTATGATGTATCTCTCGTTCTCTCTCTCTCTCTTTCTCTCTTTCTCTTTCTCTCTCTCTCTCTCTCTCTCTCTTTCTCTCTCTCTCTCTCTCTCTCCATGCCCCCCCCCCCTCTGAACTTGTTTTATCCCTGGGATGATTATCCATGGAAAATGAAGCACGTGATCTACCCTACACGAGCACTTAAAAAATTATGTTCATAAAGCGTTTGTAATAAAATCTAATACACTTGAATTTGAGATGTTTCCTTCTCTTTCTCCTCCTCCTCCTCTGTTTTCTTTTCTTTTTGATTTTTCATTTTTCTGATTCATTTCTTATTGTTTCTTTTTATTTTTGTTTGTGTATATCGCTTTCTCCATTCCTCCGCCCGCCTGAACTTTATTATCGCCGCGGTTGATTATCCAGGGACACCGAGACGGATGAACTATTCCGAGGATGTCTCAAGCGAAACAAACATATACTCGAGGATGTCTCAAGCGAAACAAGCATATACTGAAGGATGTCTCAAGCGAAACGATACGTTTCTTAAGCGAAATAAGCAATAGTTTGACGGTGTCTCAAGCGAAATAAGCAACAGTTTGTGGATGTCGCAAGCGAAGCAAGGGATTTGTCGAGGATGTATCCAGCGAGATAAGCCATTGTTGAGGATATTTCTATGAAGACTAAACGCCAAGGATGTCTCAAAACGTGCTCGGCTTGGTCTCCTCTTGATCATCTCTGACTTCGAGATTATGCTGAGGTCTGGTGGGCTACTTTGATTATCTCCCCCTGAACCCCGAACTTTATTATCCCCTAGTGATTATTATCGTGAGCATGGGGTTAGCAATATATAAAGCCGGCGACGCGCATTCCAACAATGTGGACATTACCTCGCGCCCCTGCTGCGAAGTGCGCTGCAGGAGCGGGGCGGGGCGCGCATCCCGCGTAAAAAAGGGCCGAGGTGCCGTTCCCGCCTCCGCGCCGCGTTCCTTCCTCTAGAGAATGGAGGAGGAGATGCCGAAAGGAGGAGGAGGAGGAGGAGGAGGAGGAGGAGGACGAGAGAAAGGGCCGAGATGCGTGAAAGGGCCGAGATGCCGTTGCCGCCTCCGCGCCGCGCTCCTTCTTCCAGAAAATTGAGCTCCCGCCGGGGCGCGGCGCACCCTTGTCGCAGGCCAGTCCGCCGACGCGCGAGCGGGCGAAGCTGTGGACCTCTCTTGTCGGCGTCGCGCAGAGCTCGCCCGCGAGCGCGGCGTTCCCGCCCCCACGCGGCGCATACAGTCGGGGCCCCGACGAAGGAACCCTTTTCGTTGGGGAGGGGCTCCGCGTTCCTCAAGTGTTCCGCAGCTCGCCTCAGGCTTGCCTTAGGTTCTCGACCGGGAATCGAAGGTTCACTTATGGAAAATAGGGGCCTCGTTGCTTATTTAGGGTTCCTTGGGTCAACGCCCCGACTGTATGTTTCGCTCGCCAGTTTTTTTTGGGGGGGGGCGGCCGCGCGGGGGGGCGACGCGTCGCCTCCGCCCAGGCTCCGCGCGCGCATTGGTTTCGGAAGTGTCGCTCCTGCGCGGGTGGGGGCGCCTGCACTCGGTCGCCGGAGCGCATGGGGGCGACGGCGGCAGCGGGCGAGCGGGGCGATCTGCCGGCCTCGTCCAAACGCCTCGGGGGTGGACAGAACCCCCAACAGTGACACGTCGATTAGGGAATTGTCCGTTTTCGGTTCTCGAGATGGCGCCGTGGCCGTTATTTTCCAGGCTTGCGCCCGCCAGGTTTGGGCCTCAGGTCGTTTTCATTAAACCACGTTTTACTAAAGGGGGGTCTGTCCATCCCTGAACGCCGCGCGGCTTGCGAGTGAAAGTGGCAGTGCTGCGTCACCGCGGCGCATGTGTCGTCTTTCCTCCGCCGCGCCCGTCGGAGGTGTTGCTGCTCCCGCCCCTGCGCGGCCCGCGTAGCTTTCCTTTTCGCCAAGTCGTCGGAAGCGGGACCGCGCGCGAACGTTTGCCGCATGTGGGTGGGAGCGCGATATATTCTAAGTGTTCTGTGTTCTACCCTTCTCGTATTCTGCTCGACTCTGTATTCATCTATTAAGCTCTACTCGACCGTACGTTGCTATACTCTGCTTTACTCGGCCCTACGGTGCACTGGTCTACCCTGATCTACTTGACTCTACGCTACTTTACTCATGAGTTTGACGATTGTTGGGACGCCATTAGGATAGCCTCAGGCTGCCACTGGAACAGCAGAGAAAGCCAGGCGTATACAGAGCAAGCCATGCGGATAGCAGAGGAAACCATGTGGATAAGAAGAAGCCAAGTAGATAGTGTTGACGATTGTCTGACCAATGTTGGGACGCCATTGGAATAGCCAGAGAAATCTGCTGGAATAGCAGATGACGCCACGCGGGTACAGAGAAGGCCGTGTGGATAGCAGAGGAAACGATGCGCGGATGCAGAGGAAGCCGTGCGGATCGGGATTGCAGAGGAATGCATGCGGATACAGAGGAAGCCATGCGGATAGTCTTACGATTGCAGGGGCAATGCTAGGGTGAGCAGTGGGCCAGTTCTCTATTCCAGTGGGCGAGGACTCCTACAGCCGAGCCTGTTTGGAGAGTGAGCGGGCCCCCACGAAAAAGAGGTCAGGCTGCACCAGCCAGCAAAGTCAGGCGATCTCAGAGGGGGGGTGAGTATGAACAGACAGAGCGAGAGACTGCCACAGTGATCTCGACAGACGCCGCGCGCTGGATGAGACGGAGAGCAGCGCGCCCGAGGCTGCATGCCGAGCAGGCCTCGAAGGAGACCTCGTCGCTCCGCCGGGAGCTCGAGTCGGCGAGGGACGGGGCGCGGGCAGCGCCCGGGCCTCAGCCTTCCGGCCAGGGGTGGCGGCCGACTGCAAGCCCGGCCCCGCTCCGGCCGGACGGCCGGTGCTCGGCCCGGGCCCGCCGGGTGCCCCGTGGTGTGGTCAGTGTGTGGGGAGGCGCGGGGGGAGAGGAAGACGACGAGGATGCGGGGGCGGAGGAGGAGGAGGAGGAGGAGGTTCGGCACTCCGCCTCAGCGGTGAGGCCGCCACTGCACATCCCTCCAATCGGCAACCGCTGCACGGGTGACGCAGACGCTTGAGGGACGGAACGTGTTTCTGAAGCGCAGAGGGTCACACCCACCCATCGCTTGTGTGCTCTTCCAGGCCGTCCGTCCTTCATGATTGCCGATTTGACCCGAATTGCCCTCGCCAGGCCATGGGGCCCTCGCCAGGCCCTCGCCAGGCCATGGGGCTGCCGAAAAATGGCTCGGGACGAAAAGTTGGCCCCGGGGAAAGGATCGGGACTTCCGGGGACCCCGAATAGAAGTAATGCAAGACATCGGATGTCTGGGACCCAGAGTCTGGGACTCTGTCTGTTGACCGTGTTACTTCGTTTCAAATCGGTGCTTTGAAGAGCAGCGTCGCTATCCAAAGCTCCAAAATCAGCGTCCAAAGACTTGCACCCTCGACGGCGCCGAAGGCGCACCGCGGATCGCAGGTCCCTCGACGAGTGACTCGGTAGTCCAGATGACCGATCGGGGGTCCGATGAGATACGGTGGGGGCGTTGGTTAAGGAATGCGCCAAGGATGCTGCAGACTCTGGAGGGTTCCTTCTCTGATGAGGGCGGCGGTGATATCCATGGCCAAGCCTCGAATGGAGTTCCACCGGCCTCCAGACCATGGATTCCTTATCTAGGGGAACGAAAAGTGACATAAACATAAAAACTCTGAGGTCCGCGCGGATTTCTTGGATCCGCGCTGGACCCCCCTCCCTGGCGCGCGGAGCGCGCCAGGGGCGGCGCCGGAGGCGCCGCCAGGGGGCCCCAGCGCCGATCCGAGAAATCCGCGCGGACCCCCGAGTTTTTATGTTTATGTCATTGTCTGGTCTCCTATTCTCCTCCTCCTTCTCCTCCTTCTCCTCCCAAAATATCGCTTGAAAAAAATCTAAGGCTTCCTTATCCGATGCCCCCGCCGTATTGGACGCCGCCGGCCCAGCGGATCCGAGCGGGGAGGCGCGGCCGGCCGAGGTCCGAGCGCGCCGAGGAGTGGGCGGCGGAAGCGGCGGGGCGTCCCTCCGGAGGGCGCCAAAAACGGGGAGACGCTGCGAGGGGCGTTCGCCAGCCTGCGCTTCCTCCTTCTCCTCCTCCTCCTCCTCCTCCTCCTCCTCCTCCTCCTCCTCCTCCTCCTCCTCCTCCTCCTCCTCCTCCTCCTCCTCCTCCTCCTCCTCCTCTCCCCCATCCCCCTCGTCCTTCTTCCCCGCCTTTCCTGATTTAGCAGGTCCGCGAAGGCGCATACGGTTCGCTCCTAGGTTGTGGGCCGTCCACGAACGAGATCGCAGTTGAGGGCGTCATGTGTGTCAGGTGTATCGGGGGTGGACAGAAGCCCCAACAGTGACACGTCGATCAGTGAATTGTCCGTTTTCGTCGGTTCTCGAGAGGGCGCCGCGGCCGTGATTTTCCAGGCGTGCGCCCGCCAGGTTTGGGCCCGAGGTCGTTTTCACTAAACCACGTTTTACTAAATGGGGGTATGTCCATCCCCGAATGTAGCGGAATACATCGAGATCGGCCGTCTGATCCGTATCAGTATTCAAGGAGTCGAGGCGGTAGCTCGCGCAGGAGGGCAATGTATTTGACATTGAGGGATGGGACGATGATGGTTCAAGCCTCATGTCCAATTGTCTGCGGCAAACGCCGCCACAGGGCCAGTGTAGCATCGAGGCAAGCTCAAACTGTCTTGCTAGCTATGGCTTCAGGATCGCTCTGGCGATCGGCCTTACGGAGTCCCCGCGGGCCCCAAGTGTGTTATTCGGTTGTCTTGGGTTCGATGCTTATCTCCAGCCCTCCCGGAAGAAGCACGGACGAGCCACATTGTCTGAGGCTCTGGCACGGCTTTGGGGCCGTCGAAGGGCTGTTTTTGAGGCGGTGTTGAAGGCCCGCCCCCTCTGCTTTCCCCATGGGCGCGCCGCCGAATTGAGGGGGTGGGGGGCCTCCTCAGCCGCCAGACCGCCGCCGCCTGCCCTCGAGGAGGAGAGGCGAGGCCTCCAGGCATCCCTGTCGCGGCTGGAGGCGGACAAGAGCGTGGTGGAGGAGGAGCCGCTCTGGGGAGCCGAACGCCCCCGAGTGAGGTGGCTGTGGGCCCGAGGGCCGCGGTGAGCTCAGGCGTGGGTCGGTATCGTTTAACCGATCCCCATCCCCATGCCGATCCCCTTCGAGAGCCCCACCAGATAACCACCCCAGTTGGGGAGACACCCCTCGACGCCCAAAGAGAGCGACCTCTACCCCCAACTGGGGGGTAGTTAAATCGGCACCAGTGGGGCCCAGGCCACGCCGCTGGGGATGGGGATCGGTCAAACGATAATTACTCGGCGGGAAGCCCCCGGGGAAGTCCGGGCCCGGGGAAGTCGGGGCCCGAGCATCGTCGCGCCGCTCGACGCCTCCCCTTCTGGGCAACGGCCACCCGAGCGGCGCAGGAGAACGTGGGTCGGCTGCGCAGGCGCTCGCGCGCGGGGTCGTGAGTAGGCGCCCTCTCCTCCACGCGGCGTGCCACACTGGCGGCCTTCGGGAGCCGCGGCGTGAGGTCGCTGTTTACCAGCCTCGAACATATCCCTATCCCTGAGATTGACACGCCAAAGGGCGATGACAATCTTAGGGGTTCGCCCTCCAAAGGGAATCCCTACGATTTGCATCGTGATGAGGAGATGCCCAGCACAGGGATAGGGATATGTTCCAGGCTGGTAAGCTGTGCCACGTCGCGCAGGACCCATGCGAGATGGCACGGCCACCCGGCAGGTCATGGTGGCCCCACCAGGGCCGGCCTGCTGCGAGGAGGGGGGCCGCACCTCCCCACGAAGGGATGGAGGCCGAGCCCTGCCGGGGGTCGCCGAAGTCGACCATGGCTTCCCTGGAGGGCACGAGTGCCATCTCGCGAGAGACCCGCTTCTTCCCGTCGCTCACTTGACGTTGGCCAGCGTGTCTGAACACCCCAAAAATACACCGAAAGGTAGAAAAATATTCAAAACATAGTCCCCAGAATATGTTTGGATTAGTTGTTGATTATTTTGGGTGGTATTTTTTATGTTTCATCGAAAATCCCCCTGTAGGGGGACAGGCCCGAGATCCCCCCCCCTTCTGGGAACGGCCGCCCGCTCTCCGTGCCGCTCCGCCCCTACAGCCTCGGTGAGGAGTTCGCGGAGGAGAAGGAGCGCCTCGAGGCACAGCTCAGGGCGCTCCGCGTGGAGCACGAGGCCCGGGGTCCCCGGCCTGCTCGAGTTGCCCTGCGGCCGGCTGCACGCGGGAGTGACCTTTTGTCAGGGTGACCTTCAGTGTGTCAAGCAGTGGCGAAGCGTCCCGGCTCGCCTATAGCCCTACCCAACAATGTTCTAAGAACCTTTTGTGGCTTCCACGAAATGTTCTTAGAACCTTTCTGGCGGAGCCTGTTTTGTTTTATCACATCGGGTTTATGTTCTAAGAACAGCGTTGGTGTTCTTAGAACACGTTTGGGTTCTAAGAACATTTTGTGGTAGGACTATAGGAATGCCGGGACGGTCGGTCCCTGCTCAAGTGTGGGCACACAGGGGGCCCCAAGATGGCCGAATGCGATGTTGCAGCAGCGGATGGCGCGTTCGGGTTTGCCCCTTCCCAAGTCGCGCACCGAAGGTCAATCTTGCCTGAGGTCATTCCTGCGTGCAGCCGGTGCGGTCAGGGCCCCCGGAACCGGGGCACTGCTGACCAGGGCATTGGAAATCCGGACTGGAGAGAACGAAGAGCGGAGAATGCTTCGACCCTCGGCCCCGGTTTTTCTCGGGCGCGCCAGTGGCCTGGTTTGCCAGTGTCCCCGTTGACGGGGCCCTGATGCGGAAGAGGGAGGGGGCCGTCAGAGCGGGTGCAGACGCAGTTCGTCATCAAGAGAGGCGTGTGTTCGTGCCTCGCTTGAGCCCTGGCTTCTGCCAGAGGTGTGTCGTCTGCTCTCCCCACGAGCTCGCCTGACGGGTTCGCTCGCTGGCTTTCGAGGCGGCTCCCCCTTTTCGAGGAGTATTGGCAGATTTGAGGGGAGCACCTCCTCCTCCTCCTCCTCCTCCTCCTCCTCCTCCTCCTCCTCCTCCTCCCCCTCCTCCTCCTCATCCTTATCTTCCTCCTTCATTACCACCAACAGCAGCAGCATCAACACCATCAGCATCAGCATCATCCTCATCACCATCATCATCATCATCATCATCATCATCATCAGCAGCAGCAGCAGCAGCATGCTTGATATTTTCGCTCCTCGGGGGCAACGCACGCTCCGTGCCGTGCGACACGAAGATGGTCGGCTCCTGCTTCACCCTTTGAGACATCTTCGGCCGCCGGCGCCGTCCCTGGAACGAACTCCTTCCTCCTCTTCCTCCTTCTCCTCCTCCTCCTCCTCCTCCTCCTCCTCCTCCTCCTCCTTCTCCTCCTCCTCTTTGCGGGGCAGGTCATTTCTGTGGACCAGTTGCTCGTGGACCCCCTGAGGGTCTCAGTGCCCCCCGATAGGGGGCATCTGCACGGAGCGCGCCCCCGTCCGGGCGGGCCTGTGGAGGCTCCGTCTCCCAGGAAGGGCTGCTCGGGCCCCGACGGCATCCGCCTCTCGGTATGGCGCGCTGGCGGCGAGGCCTCGCTCGACGCACTCCTTCGAAGAAGAAGAAGAAGAAACGGCATGAACATAACCTTTTGGCGCTTCGCGCGGATTTCTTGGATCTGCGCGGGACCCCCTCCCTGGCGCGCGGAGCGCGCCACGGGCGGCGCCAGAGGCGCCGCTGGGGGGCCCAGGCGCGAATCCAAGGAATCCGCGTGGAGGGCCAAAAGTTTCTGTTCATGCCGTGTTTTCTTCTTCCATTCCTGCCGCCGCTCGACCTCTCGGATCGTGGCCTGCGCGGGGAGGGGGCCGTGCTGCGCACTGTCGCGTCCGCGCGCTGTGGCGCGCGACCACGGCCCCGCCCGCAGCCGCGCGGCACCAGCGACTTCAGCCTCGGCTCCCAGGGCTGGCCGGGGACGGGGTGGGGCCTCCTCCCCAGGAGCGTGTTTCTTTATTGCTTGGGGCATAGTGGGCATGGTAGCCCCCGGCCCCCCCTCCCCCACCCCACTATAACGTGACGCCCCTGCCCCCCCGCCCAGTGCGCTTCGGGCACTCCCGCCGTGCGCATCGGGCACACGGCGGGGGGGAGGCGTCACGTTCCCCCCTTCCCCTGGCCCCCCCCCGCCCCACCCTAAAACCCATTACCGAAAATACGCTCCAGGCCCCCCTGTCCTACTCCTCTGAATTAGGGCCGGTCATTCCCACGCCTGCCGTGCGGTATAACGGGGTGCGGTGCCGATGTTGAAAATGGCGATGTTATCTACGATAGCCGCAGGTGCGTTGCATCCCCATTTCAGCAACGTTGACTTTGCGCGGACCGCCTCAAGCAACGTCAGAGCTCTTGATTCCAACTTCCCCAGACGACCGCAGGCTTGTTTTGCACAGTAACACTACATCTGTTCCCGGACGCCCGATCACCAAGCACGAAATTTCGGAAATTCCGAATCACGAAAAGCGTAATTCCGAATTTCCGTATCGCCCTAAAGGTAGTTCCGGAAATTCCAAAATTTAGAAATAGTATTGTTTCAACACAAGCCATACTTCCGGAAATTCCGAAACGACGTTCCGGAAATTCTGGAATCACAAAAATCAATTCCAGAAATTCCGGAATTTCCGGAATCGCGTGCTTGGCGTCATGGATGTTGCATGAACAAGTGGATGAGCTTGCCGCTAACGCCGCCAAGGACCACCCCCTCCCGACCTTTGTAGTCGGAAAGCCAGGGACCGATTTTCTGTGACCACCGTGTTGCATCAAGCGTTCGTTAAGATCCTCGAGAAGCGTGCCCCATCGGTCCGCGTGGTTCTCGGATTCCCAGCTCGCTCGTCTCGCTCGTTTGACGTCCTCCGACCTTCTCCCGCCTCCCCCTCCTCCCCCTCCTTCCCCGATTGGGAGGAAGCGATGGGTGTCGAGGTCGAGCTCGAAGATGAAGCTGGCTATAGCCCTTTTCGGATTTGGCTTAGAGTTTGGATAGCCGTTTTAACCGTTCCAGCCTGGCGACTATTTAGATAATGTCCCGTCCCGTGCCCGTGGCAAGAAGCGTGCCGTCTCCGTCTCGGTTTGTTCAGTGCCGACTATGTTTCAGAGTCCAGCCGAGGGGGAGATCCGTCGTGCTATTTTCCAGTATGGCTGTGCAGGCCCAGCGAGCCTACACAAATCACCCCTAAAGTGCAGGGGCATCACCAGCACCATCACAATCACCATCACCCCCCCGGGGGAGGAGGGGGAGGCCTTCTCAGAAGGCGGCGGGGCTCCTCACAACACCCCCGGCCTTCTGAGAAACCCTCTGTGGCGTCCGAGAATGCTGAGGAAGCTTCTCCCAAGGCCAGGGGCCTTCTGAACCTTCTGAGCAGGCCCGCCCCCTCTGCCTTCCCCCCTTGTGGGCGCCGCCGGACCTCACCACATGGTCCGTCACCGCACGATGTTCTCGGGACTCGCGGGGCCCCAGTTGCCCGAGGCATTCGCGGAGAACGATCCGTGCCCCCAAAACGTGCGATCAGCCCGAATCCCCGTTGACTCACCACACGGTGTGGCCACCACGCGGCGGGGACCACAAGGGCCAGCCTCTCGCCCCGGGGCGCGGGCCGCCGCAGGTGGCGATGGACACCAAGTGCCAGGAGCGAGGGGTGCGCGAGCGGGGGTGGGGGGGTCCAGCCCCTGTGCAGGGCTGCTGGTCCACCTGCCCAGGGACTGGTATGGACCAGATCCAGGGGGAGAGGGGCAGAAGCATGTTTTTCCAAGCGCAAGCGAGCCCAACAGCAGTCAGACGAGGGGAGGGGGAGGGGGGGGGGGCAGGAGGGGGTGAAACAGGCGCCGCTCAACCCTGAGCTGCGGGCATTAGCCGCATCGTGGCGGCCCCCGAGGGGGGGGGGGCGGGGGACAGAGGCACGTCTCGTGAAGGCGTTGCTGGGGCTGCGAGGGCTTCCGAGGCCTTCCTGTGGACTCTGGCGCGGACTTCGCAGTCGTAAGGCTTTCCCGATGCGCTCTGGGTCGCCAGCCCATGCTGACGATGACAGGAGGTCGGCCTTGGAACCGGCAGCAAGGGCCCAGACCGCGCCCCCCATCGACCTGTCCCGAGGGCTCCACTGCCGCGCGAACCGCCAGTAGCCCTTTGCGGAGATTGTGTCTTCAGGTGCCCCATCTCCATGTCTTATTCATATGAGATGTGGCGCGCGTGCCATGGAAGCATCGGCATCGTTGCCACACCGACTTCCCAGCATTCGCGAAGCGTTGAGATTCCCGCGCATCCGAAGATTCCAAATCCTCACCGAGCATGCCAAGTTCCTCCAACAACATCTTCTCGGTTTGAAGGGGTCACGTATATTTGATTAGCGTCGGAAGTTTTCTAGGCGTTAGGTGGAAACAACGGGCAGTGGACGCTCGAATCCGAATTATGGGTCATCAGACGGTACTCTACGTGTGAAGTCGTTCAGAGCGTCCAGGGAGCCAGATGTGGCGCTGGACCTGGAGGACCACGGGGGATTTGGGAGACTCAACTGCGCTATAGATCGTTCCATTGGACGTCGGAAGCAGTCGGCATTCTATAAAGTGGCTCCACCAGGTGATGCAATACGTAAACACACACGCATACATTTCGGACCATCGGAGGCAGTTGTTTATTTCCCCCTTGTCCCCGCGCATCCCTTTCTCATTCCAGGCAAAAGAGTAAGAATGTGGAATCGAAGCTTGGCCGGTGATAACCACTAACCCGTCCACGGAGGATCGCCACCTCAAGGGATGACAGAGAGGAGGGGGTGGGCAATTTGATTCGGCGCCCCAAGCTGGCACCTTTAGGGGAGGGGGCTTGATTAATTCGTGAACCATTCTCCACAGCATTTTGGGGGCGACATCCCTCAGATACGCGGTCGTGGGTGGTGAACAGTAGAAAGTTCATCGTTTTAGGCTTGCTGATGTTACCGGATGGACTGGGGCGGCTTATTCAGAGACGGAGTCTTCGTCAGAGTTGCGACAATGCCTCGTCCACCTGATCGCACCCTTGGCTCGTTCTCCCTCTTGGGAGGCTCGCGGACACGCGAGCCAGGGCTAGCATGCACGCATGAGTAGCAAGCTCGGGGTAGAAGTTCGGGAGCCCCGAGAGACATTGTATGTGGCTTGGGGGCGGTTAGGCTGCGCGTCGTCCTGAGCTTGCAGAGACGCCGCGGCCGCCCAAACGCGACCTCCTGACGCCGGGGCCACGGCCCCCAGAAAAGCACGGCACTGCACTCCAAGTCGCGATTGGCAGCTCACTGCGTGCGCCGTACGTCCTCGGCGACTCGCTCCCGCGTGGACCGCCCACCCCGACCCCCACGGACCGCGGACCGAGAGCCCGACCACGTCTCGGGCGCGGCCCGGGGGCCGCACCTCTGTCTCTGCAAGCAGGAGAGACACCTGTCCGACTCCCGGACCCTGGACGGACTCTCGGAGAGAGGGAGAGAGGTCAACTCTTCGCTCGCCGTCGTCGTTATCGTCGCGCTCCTGACCGTCGTCGGCCTCGCCGCCGCCGCCGCCAGTGCAGTCCAGACACGCCCCGGCAGCGCCAGGCGAGCCCCAGGCGAGAGGCGTCGCCTCAGGAGGGTTGCCCGGAGATGCCGCTGAAGGCCAGAACTTGGCCTCGCAGGCCTTCCAAGAAGTTCGCGCCCCCCCAGAGCATCGGGCAGTGCGAAGGGAGGGCACCATATAAGATGAAGTCGGGCGTATCCCTCTACAGGAGGAGTATTCAAGAATAGGGACAAAATGGTCTGGGGACGATTTTTGAGCATTTGTTTTACCATTTGGGGATATTTTTAGTATTCTTAAACTTTTCGCCCACAATCGGCCTGTAGGGAGACATGCCCGACCTAACACTGTACAGGAGGTTAACCATTTTTTCCTGGAAATCGAGGTGCCAGGATGAAAGCTCGAGGAGTTTGTTTTGAACGCCCGGGGTCGTTCTGGGGGGGCCCAGAGCGGTCTTAAAGGGGCCCCTCTCCTCGAGGAGGTGCCGCTTTCTCAGCGAAGCGGCGACCCCCCCCTCACCACAGTCGTGCCGAGGTATGAGATCGAGGTCGTTTCGGTGAGGGTGTCCTAATGCTGCTTTCCATGGTTGTTGAATGTTCTTGTGCATCCTAAGGACGGTACCCTTGGATATTCTGTGTATTGGCCATTGGGGGGTCGCATGTTCATGAAGGATGTTATTATGTCCTATGTCCGACATTAGTTCTAGGCCTCCCAGATGGGGTCGGAGCAGATGGGGTCGGAGGACCGCGCCGCATCGCTGATGCATCGGCGATGCGATTCGATGTGGAGCCCGGTATTCTCCACGCTGGCGTCGCCGATGCACCGCCGACGTTGCCGATGCATCGGCGATGCGGCACGATACTCCGACCACATCTGCTCGGACCCCACCTGGGAGGCCTCTACTAGTTGGTGGCCCGCCTTGGCACTGCCCCCAAGCATTACGATGGTCCAACCTACTTGAGCCTTGACCACCAGAAAGAATTGCTTCAGCGCCAAAAAATACCGAAGTTTGAGGTTTTTCACATGTCGGGCCCTGGGAGGCGATACCCATTCGACATTGTTTCGATACTTTTCTGTGTGCTCGTGATTATGTCCTGGATGTGGTCCTTAAGTACGATGGGAGCAACATAACCCAAGCATCAGGAGGGGAAAAACACACATACACAATGAATCGTCGACTCCCCAGAAGATATGGGAAAATATGAGAAGTGGGGGGGAAGACAAAAAACACCCTAAACACGGGAAAATATGGGGAATCTGTTTATTTGTGTGTATTTGTTTTGTGTGTCCTGGGGCCCCTTCAATTCTTTACGCTTCGCGTATCCCCACCAGCCCATCTCAAAACAGCAACTCTTGCGAAGCATGCCGACAGTCGTGTTTTTCAGGCGTGTTTCCGCCTGCCCCCGCATATCTCCCCTGTTCCTCCTTCCTCCCGCCTCCTTGTACATCCTCCTTGTGGTGGGAGCGGGAGAAGGACGAGGCGGAGGAGGAGGGAGAGAAAGCGCTCCTCGTGGTTTGAGTCGTTTGGGGTTTCTTGTCCTGGTGTGAGTCGTTCGGGCCCTTCTTCCTGGTGTGAGTCGTTCGGGCTCTTCGTGATGTGAGTCGTTCGGGCTCTTCGTCCTGGTGTGAGTCGTTCGGGCTTCTCGTGGTGTGAGTTGTTCGGGCCCCTCGTCCTGGTGTGAGTCGTTCGGGCCCCTCCTCCTGGTGTGACTCGTTCGGGCTCCTCGTGGTGTGAGTCGTTCGGGGCCCTCGTCGTGGTGTGAGTCGTTCGGGCTCCTCGTGGTGTGAGTCGTTCGGGCGCCTCGTCCTGGTGTGAGTCGTTCGGGCCCCTCCTTCTGGTGTGAGTCGTTCGGGCTCTTCGTGGTGTGAGTCGTTCGGGCCCCTCGTCCTGGTGTGAGTCGTTCGGGCTCCTCGTGGCGTGAGGCGTTCGGGCACCTCGTCCTGGTGCAAGTCGTTCGGGCCCCTCGTAGTAGGAGTAGTAGTAGTAGTAGTAGTAGTAGTAGTAGTAGTAGTAGTAGTAGTAGTAGTAGTAGTAGTAGTAGTAGTAGTAGTAGTAGTAGTAGTAGTAGTAGTAGTAGTAGTAGTAGTAGTAGTAGTAGTAGTAGTAGTAGTAGTAGTAGTAGTAGTAGTAGTAGTAGTAGTAGTAGTAGTAGTAGTAGTAGTAGTAGTAGTAGTAGTAGTAGTAGTAGTAGTAGTAGTAGTAGTAGTAGTAGTAGTACAAGTAGTCGTACCCAAGGCAGTTTGGAGGCCTCTTGGAGATCGTAGAGGGGCCTCTTGGGCTCTCTTTTGAGCCTCTTGGGAGCGTCCGGGGGCCCTCTTGGGCGCCTCTTGGAGCGTCTTGGGGGCCTGTTGGGGCCATCTTTGGGGCGATCGATCACAGATGGGGCGAGCATTTTTGTCAGTACCCCCGTCGGGGCCACGATCCTCGTGAGGGGTGTCGAATTTTAGCCCTCCCAGGGATAGAAAAAGGACCCTCTGACCACCCGCGAAACCCCCTCTCCAGGTCCAGGGGGAGGGGGTTGGGGGAGGGGTAAACCCCTCCCCGAAGGGGAAGAAGGGGGGTTGAGAACAGAGAGAGCTCGCTAAACCACTCACGCCCAAAGGGCTGGTGGGATTACCCAAGCAGGAGATCGGCACCATCCGCGGCGCCGAGCGCGACGCGTGGTCGCGCCGGGAGAAGGAGCTGGAGGGCTCCCTGGGCCAGGTCAGGGCCCTCTGCGCGGAGGCCCGGTGGCGGCTGCTCGCCGAGGCCGCCGAGGGAATCCTCCTCCTCCTCCTCCTCCTCCTCCTCCTCCTCCTCCTCCTCCTCCTCCTCCTCCTCCAAGTGGTCGGGGGCGGCACAGAAGGGGGTGAGGACCAGGGGGAAGGTCGGCAAGTTCGACTAGACGTAAGAGTGACCTTTGGCCGGAGTGACCTTTGATACGGGCCCAATGGGGCTCCCCAGTCGCTGAACGCGAGGCGGTAGCAGCGGCTGGCGCATCTGGGTTTGGCCACCCCGCGTCCCGGAGACAACGACGGCCTGCCCTTCGCGGTTCTCGTCCTTCCTGGGCCTCCTGGGGACTTCTCGTCGCTACGGCTGGGTCCGCTTCAGAAAGCGGGTCGGGATGGATCCCGGGAGGGGTCCGGGGATTGAGTTGACCGGATGGATCGGGGGCGGCAAAGAGGGGGGTGAGGACTTGAGGGGGAGGATATCATGGCGGGGGCCATGATATTTCCCCAGATCTCAGGGCGCCTTCTTCTCATCTCATTACGTCCCTGGCCACCCCCCTTGGGCCGCGCACATGCCGCCGGCCATGATTTGCACCCCCCCCCCTCTTGGACGCCCCCCTCTCGGCCGCTCCCGAGGAAGTGGCGGGGGGGAGATCCTCACCTGGACTCGGAGGCGCTTCGAAGAGAGATCGAGGATCCTCAGGACGCGTGTCATTGAAGGGGGAAAAAAACACCATAAACATAAACTGTTGGCGCTCCGCGCGGATTTCTTGGATCCGCGCTGGGTTCCGCCCCCGCGGCGCCTCCGGCGCCGCCCCTGGCGCGCTTCGCGCGCCAAGGAGGGGGTTCCAGCGCAGATCCAAGAAATCCGCGCGGAGCGTCAAAAGTTTATTATTATGCCGTAGTTTATTATTATTGTTTGTCTTATTCTTCTTAGTATTAGTAGTATTATTAGTATTATTATTATCATCATTATTATGAGTATTAATAGTATTATTATTCTTATTACTATTATTATCACTAGTATTATTACTATTCTTATTACTACTACTATTAGTATTATTATTATTCTTAGTCTAATTATTGTTATCACCATCATCATCGTCATCATCATCGTCATCATTATTATCATTATTAGTATTATCATTATTATTACGATTCATAGTATTATAATTATCATTAGTATTATTATTATTACTATTATTAGTTTTATTATTACTATTGTTTTTATTATTATCATTATTATTATTAATAATATTATTATCATTACTATTATTATTATTATTATTATTCGTCTTCTTCTTCTTCTGCCAAGGACGTGTGTCAGCCCAATGTGCGTTTGCCCCGCTCAGCTCCGCCGACAGCGCGCCGCCCGTTTCGGGTATCGTTACAGCGCCTGCGTCGTGTCGGCCAGCCTGGGTGGACAAGAGCACGCGTCAGCGCTCACACGCGCTCTGGGGACCATCGAAGGGTGTGGGACCTCGGGGGGCAACGCTCGGATTCGAGGTTCAAGGTTGGAGGTTCGAGGGTTCGGGGGTCGATGTTCGAGGTTCGAGGTTCGAGGTTCGAGGCTCAGGGGAGGCAGGCTCGGGTTCGAGGTTCGAGGCTTGCAGGCGTGTTCGTTTTGCTCCTCGGCCGTGCTCCAGCCTCGGGGTGCCCTCCGGCAGCTGCGCCTCGCCGAGGGCGTTCCACGGGTGCCCGGATCGTCCCGCACGGCCGTGGGAGGCTCGATTTTTTGGCACGAAGGCCACCGTGGGGATGGGCTCGGGCAGGGCCGCACGGCCTCTCCAGGGCGTTGGGGGCCCGAGAGCGAGGCAGGGCAGCCGGAGCTCACTGCAAAATTGCCGTAAGAAGGAGCGACGTGGCTTGCCATCAACTTTCACTCCCGCGTCGCTCGGTTCGCGAGGGACGGGACGGGACGTTTGGGGATGCACGGGGAGAATCAGGTCAGAGAGGTTTCGGGAGGGGGGCGGGGGACGAGAGATCATTCAAAGCTTGCGGTGAGGCCCCTCCGCCATGTCCCAGTCGACTTGGTCAATTGCTAACTCCACGAAGGTACACTTCGGGGAACGCTTGGATTCGAAATATGGAAGCTGTCGGAAGGGCCACGAAAGTTGGCAGGAGCGAGATGGGAGCGGCTTCTCCGGGGAACTCGCAAGAGCTCAACCCAAAAGCGCGTTGTGATTCCTTTCGTCCTCCTTCTTCCCGCATACACGCCTGAGGATCTGGGCAAGGTTTGAATGCGAAGTCCGCTCAGATCACCGTCATATCATCATATACCGCTAACGTATCGGCTCAGGTATTCGCATGAACATCATACCGCGCTGCTGTCCGCGCAGCGCCCAGGAAAACGAGTAGCTAACCTTTTCCTCCTCTGCCTCTACCTACGGATCCTAGTATAGGATCGAGCCCTCGGTCGTATCCCTAAACGCACAGGTTATCGGCCTCTTCTTTTACGTCATTCGCCGTTGCGCCTCGCGTCATCGTTGACCCCCCCGGCATGGCGTTTCCCCCCTCTGGGCGCAGTGCCTCTATGCCTGCGGCGTCCTCGACGGCGCGCGGTCGCGACGGCATCGCGGAGAGGACGAGAGAATATGTGATACCCATTTCCCCCCTTTCAGGAGAAGGAAGCACCGCCTCGCTCGCGGCTGCCCTTGGCGAGCTTCTACCCGACTCACCGCTGCCGCCGCCTCCCACACGCGCTCACTGCAGGCCACCGTGCGTGCGAGTGCAGAGACTGGATCCCTCGACCAGGCACGTGGCATCAAAGCAGAATACATCGACGAGCTCACCGACTGGTTTCGCGAGCAAGGCGACGCCCAAATGGACGTCACACTAGCTCCTCCTCCGGAGTCGCCAGATGCGCCTGTTGCCGCATCGGTGGTCGCGCCGCCGCCCCCGCCTACGCATCCCCCGCCGCCTGCAGATGCTCCTGCGGAGCGCGCGACAACCAAGCGGTCACCACCAACGCCACCAACGTCACTTGCGTCAGTGGCAACACCCGCACCCACGCCGCCTCAGCCGATCCTGAGGGACACTCCGACGGAACCACTTGCGCCGCCACCACGTCCGCCCGCGGCTCCTGCAGCGGATGTTTGCGCGTCGGTGGCAACACCCGCAGATGCTCCACCGCCCGTGGAAGCCGCGCAGACCGCGGAGCCTTTGAAGCTGCAGGTCATGGGTGCACGCGACTGCTGTGCTCGTTCGCAACACGAAACTGCAGATACCTTGGACACAGACAGTGATTCCGTCACTCCCAGGGACAACGACATCCGCAAGAAGATGCCTGACCCTTCCCCTTGGGCCCCTCCTCCTCTACGCGGACTCGGACAGCGCAAGGTGCGCAGTGACAGCTCAGCGTATGAGAGCAGCCTATTTTACGATAGTACGTCACCAAACATGCTCCTGACTTACACAGCAGTGGCGAAGACCCAGCAGTTTGGCCCGGATCTTCGTACAGGCATCAGATACCTTGGTCAAAACTTGGGGACTCCGACATACTTCAGTAAGTCGTTCTCTGCAGCACTACGTCATGACACCGGTGGCGCGAACGGCCCGAATCAACTCTTGGACCGCCGTATCAACATGTGGACACAGCCAGGACTTGAACGTTGGGCCGTGGAGAGCCACTCTCGATCCTTCGACGACATCGCGACGGACATTTCCACGAGAAACAACTATGGCCCCAATAAGGCGGCAGTACATGCCCACATGCTCCAGGCAATGCAACTCGGACAGCCGTGGCCGAGCGCAGACAAGCATTGCGTCATCGCTGTCCTTCGTTTCCTACAACTGCACGTCGACGATGAGAAGGCTCGGTTCCAGGTCTTCGTCCGCCGCCCCGATCCGACCGCTGCTGACTCGGATTTTGCATGGGACCAGGCACTGGCCATTCGGGCTATCGGCGGGCACAGTGCTGCGCATAGAATGAGCAGACCATGGAACATGGATTGGAAGCGGTTTTCCTTGACAGATGCGAAGTACCTGCATCGTGCCACCACCCGCGACGCGCGGACTAGCATCCGCAACTCTGGCAGTTTTCCTGGACGCGGAGCAGAGCGTCAGACACGGAAAGTCGTGCTTTGTTTTGTCTTCGGCAACGACGTGCATGCGGCGTCTGTGGCCAGGCGTGAATTTTGGCTCGGCGAGCGGGGCACCACCATGTGTCCCCAGACTATTCCCCCTATGTCCATTCTTGCCATCTGCACGGTCGGTGCGCGCGCTCTCTTTCCCGAGCACAACAAATCATGGACATGCCCTCCGCAGGCAAAGCTTCCTGCGCCACGGAGTCAGCATGAAGTCTGCGAGGTTTTTTTCTGTCCGGCGGCAACGCCTGCCGCGGAGTCCATGCCGAACTTTCAGTCGCATCGCCGACCCAATGTGGCCTCGCCCAAGCCATGTGGATCCGCGGCCGCTGCAGTCGCGAAGGGTTATTCTTCTGCCGCGCCATGCGTTCCCGAGCAGCATGTCCAGACCGACGCGCCAGCCGACATTGCGGATGACATGCGCGACGTCCTCCGCCTCGACACTTACATGGCTGCACCCGCCGCTGACCCCAGTGTCCAACCGCTGGCTGACCCCAGTGCCCACGCACACCCACCGACTCCAGCAGAACAGGACATCCAGGAACCGCAGTCGGGCATCGATTGGTGGAAAATCGCACGGGATTGCAAGCAGCAGCACTTCGAACCGCTCGCAAAAGACCTCGCTCCGGGCACCTGGGACCGCACATCGCGTTGCTCGGGGGCCCCCAGACGGGGCGGTGACCACGCCGTGCGGTGAGTCGGTGGGGACTCGGGCCCACCGCGCGGTTTTGGGACTTCGGGTCGCACTCCATGGACGTCTTGGGCGACAGGGGCCTCCAAGGTTTCAAAACCGTGCGGTGACGGACCGCGCGGTGAGGTCTCGGGGGGGCTCGAAGTCGCCGCGCGGCCCGCCACCGCTCCGTTTCGGGGCCCCAAACTTACATCGAGATTCGTTTCGGTGGTTTCTTCTACGCGCGTCGGCACGGCACGCCCCGATGCCGAGCCGTAGCCGCACCATGCCCTGCCACCAAGCAGGAGACCCTCATCCTGGCGAAAGGACAAATATTTGTTCCAATCATCGACATCGAGCACGTAGGACCCTATATCAGCGCGATGATCCCGAGACGTAACCACGGCCCGCTCTGGGCCCATATGTGGTACTGTGGTCACGGCAACGATCAATGCGGATTCAGCTTCGCTGTCCCTCTTTGCGGCGATATTCCGTCGGACTTGATCGATCACTTCCATGCTTGGGACATCGAAGAACATCTCGGCATATCCGATGATGACATCGTCGTTGAGACGTCGGTGGGAACACCCGCAACTCACAGCGATCGCGACGCCGTCGAGCACGATGACAGTCGAGCCCTTCGACACGACGAGAAGACAGTTCTGACGCCCATCCAGATCGTTGAGGACCTGCAGGCCACCTTCGGAACCCTCTCCAAATAATCCCTTCAAGACATCCGAAGTTCAAGTGCAGCGACCGTCAGCACTGGACCACTGTTGATGACGCCGCCCTGCGAGGTGGAACACGTATGGACCTGTGAATTACGAGGATGAAAAGTACCACTACCTCAGCCACCTCGATATCATGTTCCGCTTCAACGTTGAATCAAAATGGTACAACACGACGTTTAATCCGCACAGTCCATGGGCCCAGCAGCTCCCCGACACATGCGGACGCAACTTGTTCATCCTGGCGATGATGAGGAACATGGACTGGAAAGACGACGTTTCATTCGTGCTTCCCCATTGGACCCCGCACCTCTTCGCCATCCTTGAGGACGACGCCACTCAGCGTCTCGTGGGAACATCGCCGTATGATGCTATTACGCACGATCCCGCCCTCGGGCCCCTGCTCAACTCATGAGAGAAAGATACGATGATCAACCCGAAGCACAGCGAATCTTTGGACGACCCCATGAAGG